TTTTTTTTCCTTCCCTTCCCCCCCCCCCCCCCCCCAAGAAAAAAAGAGACAAACCAAACAAATTATAATAAGTAAACATGCATAAAAGTGAAAGCCATCCCTCCATATGGTGACGCAGAAGACCGGGAATGGCAACATTTTTGTCTGTTCTTGCGAAGTAATGGCATTATGGAATCGAAACGTCATTTACCAGTTCCTAAAGAATGAAATTTTCATTGCCTATTGATTATAAATAATGCAGTATCAATGTAATGTAACCAAATTAGAAAACCATGAGAATTTGGTCGTGCTCTAGATAAATCGTGAAACTGACCCCTAAATTATCGTTGCAGACGTACTTACGCTTTGGTGAAGCAGTTTGCATAAACTTCCATGAAAGGGCCAAATGGGACCAAAGTGACAGAAAGAAAAGTCCCGACCCACCAAAACCACGAGTTGCAGTCTGGAAGAAAAGTAAGTTTTTCATGCTCAAAAGACACCCGTTCACCATTTACTTCCCGAGAGTAAGGAAACAATCGAACATTTTCATTGAAATATCAGGGAAAAGCTCCCTCCCACCACGCCCTTCCCCAGACAGCTTCCACCCCTCCCAGCCCCGCCCTCCAACCCTCCTCGCCTGTCCGCGAGATTCTCCACCCTCATCGCTCTTCAGCCGTGAATTTTTACTCTTGTTCGAAGCTGATTAAAACAGTCGGATGATTCAAAGAAATAAATTTGCCTGCATCGACGAAAGGTACAATAAAATAAATAAGTAAAAATTGGTATATAGGGGCCTTGCGAAGAACATGACCGCAATAAAGTGAAAAGATTTGCAAAGGGTAAGGAAAATGAGTTACATGTTATCGGGGAGCTTGAAACAGGCCAAGTACATTCGCCGTATGGAGTCGGCGCCGTGTGCGGCAGTGGCTCTTCAACCGTTCAACTAGTGACAGATTTCGGTATCTCTCCTCCTTCTCCTTCGTGCTTCTCCCTTTTTCGTCCCATTCCTGCGGCCCATCCCTCTCATTCGTCTTCTTGGGACGAGTCTTCCCTCCCAAGTACAGTATTTCCCGCCACGACCGATATTAAGGTCGATGGAAGTTCGCTAACGACACCAAGAAGCAATTCCAAGGATCATTAACTCGAAGGGGGGGTTCCGTCCTGCTCCTTTTAAATCATTCTAATGGGAATCTATTCTTTCCATTGAAAAAAAAATGTATTTTTCTCTTGCCTGCCTGGAAAGGGCCGATCCTATGCCTTTCATCTCGTCAAGTTGACTTCTTTGTCGGGTATACTGTCTAAAAAGGCCTCTGATGTAATTGTGACGGTAAAAAACGCTTGGATATAACAGGCTGGAGATAGTGGTGCCCCGGGCGAATGGAATCGGCTTCGTGCGGTAGAGGCTGTTCACCCGTTGAGCCAGAGAGAGTTCGCGTCCGAGTCTCCCTCTCTTCCCCCGACCGTTCCGTTTCTCTCTCTTCATTCTTGTCGGCCTTTTACATTGTTGTAGTGCACAGCTCCCCTTTTCGACTTGTGCCTCCTTCGAACCTCCCATCTTCGAGGGGTGAGCCTTCGTCCTCCTTTCCTCCTACACTCCTGCTACCGAGTGATGATGAAAGTGAGGGCACGAGCACACAATCACATGGAGTCCTCGTCGACAGGCGAGTCTGAGACACACGTGGCGATCTTGGATCCGTCGTCTCCTTTTCTCTTTTTATTTTTTCATTTTTATTCTCGAGGAAACGACCTCTCTCTTTTCACAACGAACACGATTTCATCTTGCCTGCTATGAGTGGAGCGGAGCGAAAGTGAACCTGTGGCCTTGATCAGGGGCCTTTCCAAGGCCCATCACATTTTCCATTTCTCTCATTCCGCGCAATTGAGAAGAATTCCTCGGAATTTCTTTTCCGCCAACAGTTCCTTATTTTCCCCTCTATAGTAAATTTTCCTCCTAACTCTTTCTGTACGGATGTATTTTCTGGCAATTTCTCCAAGTTTTTGGCACAATGAAAGATCCAGGGCACTCAATATTCAAATGAAACTCTTACTTCAGGGCTTTTGAAAACAGAGAATTTCAACTGCAATTGGGCGGCTGTGTTGCCAATGATCACAAATTGGTTCAGAAAGTCTGGTTAAAGAGAGGCAGGACAATTGTCTCCGGACAGTTGGCTCAGGGCAATTCGCGATTCACGGGCGAAATGTAGAAAGCCGAGTAAAAACTGTTTTCAGTTCCCGACACCGATCGGAAGGGAAATGACTGAAAGGGAAAACTGGAATTTCAATTTCACTAATCTCAAATTTTTATTTTCATGGCGCTCAGGTATTATGACGGTCCTCCTTTCGCTCTCAGCTTCGTTTTTTCAGCTTTTTTACTCTTTCTCGAAAATTCGTTTCATTCTCCTTCTGCGCCTGATTGACATTGCGGTTCAGTTGCAGTTGGGATCCTGTCGTGAGAATAGTCGATATGGAGCTTGAACGAGGCCGTTTTCGTTCGACGAGATCTCACCACAGAATCGCAAGACTTCCAATGAGTCATTGTCTTACCGCCCTCCACCTCTTCTTCCTCGCGCCTCCCCCCACATCGTTTCTTCATTATAAGGAATATGTTAAGGGGTGGGGGCGGGGGGTCGATATTTTTATATTACTGCTTCTTGGGCACTCATGAGGCGATGAAGAAATTGAATTTATGTAGAAGGCAGTGAATCCGAAAAATTCGCGAAATTTCGTGATTTTTCCTAGTCCCGTTGTTTCACACTGCAAGAAAATTCCCGGGTTCACTTGGATCACTGTCTTAGCATCTCATGCCATATCATGCTCATCCGTTTCACCAGCTGATACCTCTCCGCACAAAGAAATTGGACGGGCTAGCGGCTTAGCGGGAACCAATCGCTTGTGGATCTGATTCATGCGATCGTGGTGAAGTTCACCACGGGTCGATTCTCATCGAATCGGAGGAGTGGATTTTATGGATTTCGTGTGGTTCCTTCTCGGCGGATTCCTTTCATCGGTTACTTCCTAGGAAACTAATTTTTTTTCATGTTTCACAAGGTACTGCTGCGTCGAAGGCAAAAACGAGAGCCTTAAATAATAATAATAAATAATCGGAATGTTTCACATGAAGCGATGTGGAATATTTGCTGGCTGAATGAACTGCGGTGGGAAATATACGAAGGCATAGTGTTCTGACCGCTCGTGGAATTTCGTCATTTCATCAGGTTAATCAACATCAGTCTCTATTTCGAGAGGCGGGGTAGCTGATGGTACGATGTGATGGTACAATATACTGTATATTTTTTAACTTGTGGAAATGTAGCGCTGTTTAAACGTCACTACGACTGAAATACTTGCTATTTAATGAAATAAAGCAGTAAAAAAAAATAAAACCCACTTTTTATTTTTTTCTCTTCTTTGCCACAGGAGTATGATTTCACTTGCAGCAGTTCGTCGAAATACTGCTTATAAATTGGTTTTCGTATTTGTTGCAAGCTACCTCGTATTTCTTGGCTTCATTTCGACATTTCGCATCACCGATGCCAA